GATCTGTCTTTTATTTATAGTAATGTGGATTCTCTTCTTAATAAGAGAAATGAGTTAGAGGCAAGACTGAGTGTTGCAAATCCTGATGTTTTAGCACTGTGTGAAATATATCCAAAACATTGTCTTCTTCCAGTTGATGAAGCTGAACTTCAGTTGAAGGGATATGACCTCTATCTACCATCCAAAAGTCACAGAGGAGTAGCGATATATTGCAAGAAAAACTTAAAGTCTCGATATTTTGCTGTGGATGGTATTGACTTTGAAGAACATGTTTGGTGTTTAATTAGTGACGGATCTGAAGAACTACTAGTAGGATGTATTTACAGAAGTCCAAACAGCAACAACGATAACGATCATGCTTTACTGCAACTCCTTGAAGAAATAGATCATCTGCATCACAACAGACTTGTTATAATGGGAGACTTCAACCTTCCACGTATAAACTGGAATATCCCTTCAGCAACTGGGCCAGATACATGTTTTTCTTATGAGTTTGTAGATACGCTGCAAGATTTATATATGTCACAACTAGTAACTGAACCAACTAGAATGAGAGAAGGACAAATATCGAATGTTTTGGATCTTATTATTACTAACCAAGAAGACATGATTGAATCATTGGTTACCTCTTCTCCAATAGGCAAGAGCGACCATCTAGTCCTCGAATTCAAAGTATTGGTGTCGAACATGGCTTGTAAAACCACCAACCTGGAACACTATGCATTCTTCAAGGGAGATTTTGAAGGAATGAGAAAATTTGTCTATGAAAATGAGGTGTTTGATATACATGTGACCCATACAGATGATGTGCTAAACTGTACTTGCAACGCTATTGTGGAACGGATCAATGAAGTAACAAATAGTTTTGTGCCTAAATTCAAATCGAGAGCAAAGGATAGACCATTATGGATGAATGCTGCTGTTAGAAAAGTAATTTGTGACAAACATAAAGCCTGGAATCATTTCCAGAAAACAAGAAGCCAACAAGACAGAGATAAGTTCAAGAAGATTAGGAACGAGGTCACCAGATCAGTTACTGATGCAAAGAAATCTTTTGAAAAGAAACTAACTTCAGATCTGAAAACCAATCCAAAATGTTTTTGGAAATATGTGAAAAGCAAAACAAAGACAAAATCTTCAATCGGGTCACTGGCGAAACCTGACGGCGGCTATGCAGAGACAGACACTGAAAAAGCTAATACCTTGAACAATTTTTTTGTCTCTGTATTTACGAGAGAAGATTTAGCCAATATTCCTAGCTGTGATCCAAGAAGAAATGTTACACCCCTGGACAACGTTGAATTTACAGAATCTGCTGTCAGAGAAGCAATTAAGAAGCTCAATCAGACCAAATCCCCTGGACCTGACAATGTACATAACCGTATTCTGAAGGAACTTGGGGATTATATTGCTAAACCTCTCACCGAATTGTTCAATTTGTCGATGTCAAAAGGTCAAGTCCCAGCATGTTGGAAGGAAGCCTATATTACACCTATATACAAAAAGGGTGATAAGAGGAAACCAAGTAATTACCGTCCTGTGAGCTTAACCAGTACCTTGTGCAAGATGATGGAATCTTTCATCAGAGATGTGATAGTTGACCATATGGATAGGCATGAACTGTACACAGATAATCAATATGGTTTTAGGAAAGGCAGATCTTGCGTCACACAACTACTCGATGTATCTGAAGCTTGGTACAAGGAGCTTGATAGTGGAAGAAGTATTGATTGTATATATCTCGACTACAGTAAAGCATTTGACACTGTCCCACATCAAAGGTTGCTACGGAAAATAGAGTCGTACGGTATCTCAGGTAATCTGTTGAACTGGATCCAGTCCTTTTTAAGTGGAAGATCTCAACAAGTGATGGTTAACAGAATTACATCCACGGAATCTAACGTTATGAGTGGCGTACCGCAGGGGAGTGTGTTAGGGCCCACCCTTTTCCTAATCTACATGAATGACCTGCCAGACGTTATTCAGTCTAATGAATGTAAAGTTAAGCTCTTTGCAGATGATACCAAGCTGTACTCTTCAATAGCTAACATCGACGACGGAAAGACTCTTCAATCGGAACTAAACAACCTTCTTGTATGGTCTAGAACATGGCAACTCCCTTTCAACATTGAGAAATGCAAAGTCATCCACTATGGAAGAAGTAATCCCTTGTGTGACTACACGATGAATGATGTTAACAAGCCATTACCTGCAGTTCATCATGAAAAGGATCTGGGAGTAATATTCGATGATAAAATGTCCTTTTCTAATCACATTGACACTGCTTGCAATGCTGCAAACCGGAAACTGGGTATCATCAAGCGTACTTTTTCAACTATGGACAACAAGGGACTCACACAGTTATATAAGTCAATTGTGAGACCAGCACTAGAATACTGCTCTCCCGTGTGGCACCCTAATAAGAAGAAACATATTCTCAAAGTGGAAAAAGTTCAACGCCGTGCAACTAAACTCCTTCAACCTCTCAGAAGTCTTCAGTACAAGTTAAGGCTAGAGCAACTAAAATTGCCTTCATTATCATACAGACGTCATAGAAGTGACATGCTACAGGTCTATAAGATAATGCATGGAATCGACGACCTCCAGTCAACTAATTTCTTTCATCGTACCACTGTCACAGTAACAAGAGGTCACCAGTTTAAACTACAAAAGAAACATGTAAAATCTAAATTGAGGCAGAGCTCTTTTTCACAGAGAGTAGTAAACGAATGGAATGGTCTCCCATCATATGTAGCAGAAAGTCCATCACTCAATTCTTTCAAATCAAATCTTGACAAGTACTGGTCACTGAAGAAGGACAAGTTTAATCCTGATGAACTATTCAACTGTCCATGTTCATCCGTAACTGCACAACGCCAAATTCAAGAGTAACCCACTAGCAGACACCGAGGGGCAAATAAGTTTTGTATAACTTTATGCCTACTTCCAAGGTATGAAATACAGCTCTAATTACTTGATCTTTCAGTTCCGGTAGCGGGACCGCCGATTACATTGCTAAAATGTGATATTTAAGGATACATTTTCCATTGCAAAGGTGGTTCTTCAGTGACTCTGTCATGTTTTGAACCAAATACACCATTGCTCAACAGCCTGGACCCCTCCCATCTGACTTACGCTATTCTCTTCTCTTGCCATATGATCTGTCCCTTCCCTACACTGTCAAATTCTATTTTAAAGATGACACTTCACTTGACACTATCTTTTCATGCCCATCGCCTGCACTCAATACCCTCCAACTAAGGATTTTATTGCATATTTACAGCAGCCTACTACTTTGAATGTGATAAACTCGCTGATCTCTGAAAAGCGGAGGGACAACAACAGAGAGAGAGGTAGGTCTATGTGTGTGTGATATGTGATATGCTATTTAGAGTCTAGACATTTTTTTTAAAGGGATTTTACCAACCATGCATCCGACTGACCGCCGAAAACTCCCTCCTTTAGTCTAGATTCTACTCTAATTAGTCGGAAGATATTACTCATTTATAAAAAATATGGCGCTAGTGTAGCAAGGTATCCAAAATATAGCCTACTAAAACAGACCCCAAATTTCAGACCCCAAATTTTGTGGTCATCATTACCCTAACCCTAACCCTAACCCTAACCCTAGCCCTAACCCTAACCCTAACTCTAACCCTAACCCTAACCCTAACCTAACCCTAACCCTAACCCTAGAGATAATGATAAACACGAAATTTGGGGCTCGTTCCTAGAAACCAACGACAAGACAGTCATAACTTTATCCGCCAACTACGGAGATGTCTGTGATCTTCCTAAACCGTTTCACGAAGAGCTTACTAGCTAGTATCTCGTGAGATCGATATTATCGGCGAGAAGAGGAGCCGAGAATTAGCCTTAGTCGCAATACCACCAGATTATTACAAAATTAATATTAGGGAAAATGCAATTATTTAAATGAATTAGTAATAAAAAAGATTAAAAATGATACCAAGAAATAAGAGATCCAATATACTTCCAAATTTGTGTAGATTAAACAATTGAAGTACTTGTAAAATATAATTGTGAGTTTTTCATTACATGACCAGTGAATCAGTTTTGTTGTTGAGATGGGCACCCCCCGAATATTTTCATTTGATAGTTTATAAAAATACACCCTTATATTATTCTTTGAAAAAATACGATGTAATGAAATTTGTGTTCAATGTTTTTGGCGTCAGTACAATATAAAAATTACAAAACTTCAATATTTCAAATGTTAAAACATATGTTTAAACCATTCACTTTGCATAATTGAAAATAAAATTCATCTCGAAATTAATATGGGTCTGAAAACTAAAGAATACACTTCAAACTATGGCTTGCCTGCCGTGGCAAAATACATATCCCTTCGATGAGTTTACAATGTGGAAATAAAGGCGTATAATCAGTTTATTTAAGTGGGAAAATCCTTAAATACAAACATGGCATATTTTCATGAGATTATCAAATACAAAAAACGATAATTCACTGTTTAAGTGAATGTGTAGAAAATCATAGTTGGAGGATTTATTGTCCTTTTTTGCCAGCCATAGTCTACACAATAAATGACATGTGATGGCGCTGCCCATCGACTAAATAGTTATGACAGAGATACGACGGTGTCAGAGGTGTCATAACTCCTTAGTCAGGATGTTGTCGTTGATCTAGGCAAAGAGGGCTTGGTGAAACACGTAGCGGACAAGTTGTTCACTAACGCTGATTTAGTCAAGAAGTTAGACTTATGACGGTTTGTAGGAACGGGCCCTTGGGGTCTAAAATTTGAGGTCTGTTTTAGTAGGCTATATTTTGGATACCTTGCTACACTAGCGCCAAAAATATAATATATTGTGCACTGAATGAATAATATTCCCGGAAAAAAAGTACAAATAGATCCTAGAGTCTACTAGAAAACGATAAAGTGAGAGTGAGTGGAAAAGTATTCTCCACCAACATAATATCAAGCAAATGGGACCGTTCTAAGTCAAGTTCAATTTTCTTACCATATTTAAGTGCCTTGTCCGTACTTTATATTGAGCAAAATATATCAGATTATATTGGAAATAGATACAACTATATGATGTTGGGGTAAATGTCGCAAAGTCAATTCTAAATCTGCAGTTTTCATGTGCTGATCCTTCCCTAATAAATGATAAACATCACAAGTTCGGTCAGGTGACTGATTAGGCAAAGTCACTGTTATCTTCATTTATGGTCATCATATTAATATATTTTTTAAACCATTATAGTATTTTTCAAAAATAAAAATAAGATGCAGTATTTATATTTTTTATAAATTATAAGTTAACATATATGATACATTTGATACCTAAGCAAGTATATCCTTCTCAATCACTTTTGACACGTCAAGAAAAACAAAAACACTGCATTTATTAATTTTTGCACACAGTTTTGGAGAACTTGAGCTTGAATTGAGGTCATTACTGACTTTCTAGGTTGGGCGTTTCAAGATTCAATGATGGTATGTACCGAAAAATAAAACTAATTTAAATTTAACCCTTTAATAACGGTATAACTGATGGCACCAACACAATATTCTTGTGAAAGATAATTGTTCAGTCCCGAACGTTCATTATCGTGTTTGCTTTGATTGACTGAGGTTACACAAAACTTTTTAGTAAAACTCAAGGACAGTTACTTCAAACTTGATAGTTGGTGGTAGATGTAAGATGATTGTGCTTATTTATAAAAGATTAAGGGGTAGGGTAGGGTATGAAAGGATAGAATAAGTTCATGATGAATCAGTTCTCGCAAACTCGCCTCTGAGCTCTGGCCTTCGGCTTCGCTTCGGCCAGTTCGGGCACACATAGGAGCATCACTATCCTGGCTGTGTAGTAAAAGCTGTGCTTTTGATTCTCAACATTTCAAACACCACTGTACAAAACTCAACTGATTTCACTCAAAATCGGTACTTTAGTGACAATTAATGACACCTAAATAGCAGTAAAATACATTTTTTTTAACTCGCTGATGTTAAAAAGAATAATTTAAAAATTCAAATTGTAAGTCTAGTGTCAAACTTTGCTTGCAGCTGCATCGACATGATTGTGTACAGTCTATGCGAAATTGTGTGGTGTGTATATTTGTGTATAGGTATAATAATACCCACCTCACAGCAAGCATGCAGTGCTAAAGGTCAATACGCATTAGCTATGACTCTCTTAGACCGAAAGCTTCAGTCTCTATAATCGTCGGTTGTTCCACTGAGACTACGTCTGGCTCCACTAGACCTCCGGTTATAGAGACTGAACGACTGCCTATGCCAGCCTGTGTTGAACTTATTCCGCTAGATTTTAGCCACTAGGCCCCTCCCACAAACTTGCCACGGCCGTATTGTTATGCCCCCAAAATCCCCCAAAATGTCATTTTACCTCGTTCATTTCCAATTTTAAATTAGGCCTAGGCTATAATACATCGGTTCCACTTACTAACTTGATTGATATAATCTGTTTAATGGTCCCTTTTAAGGAAATTATCGGTCAAAATCGACATCCATGTTGAAAATCTTGCAAGCCGTGTTAAAATCTCGCTGCCGTCAATCTCATCCCTTCTAGTCTACGCCGAAGGCAAAATGATTATGAAGGAAAAACTGTGCGCCATCTACACGTTCGTAATGGCGTTATCTCATCGTATGTATTAAATCAATGCAGCCGCACACCGCAACGCACACACGATATCTCTGTCTAATTCAGATTCCAATTTCCGATCACGGCAGTACTAGTTTTCGGGCTGGCGAGCTCCGGGGAGCTCCGGCGTGGGATACCTGCTCCGCCCGCTAGTGAAAACTGGTTCGCTATGCCGATAACTGACTCCGAAACAGTGAAAATTTAAATGAATATTGTCATGGCAATTCGTTATTTTTTTCTGGGATTCTTTTTTTGTTTAAATAATAATAATATTTGCTTCATGATTTGAACAAGAAATGATAATAAATAGGAAGTAAAGGGTCCAAAAAATAGGATTTTGTCTTAAGTGGCCGAAAACCGGCTCCTTTACTCTATATTGATAAACGCTGATTCTTGGCCTTACCTTTGACCTGTTTCTTGCTTGTTATGGTCATTTAGTGGATAAATTAACTTGAATTTTGAGCACTATTTCAGTAACGCAAAAAGTCCAGGTTTAAGTTGCATTTGATTTTAATTTTGTTGCTAGGACTTCTCAAAGTTTTTGGATGCTAACTTTGATGTGAAGGACTGGGTGAATGCTGCATTTAAGGCACAGAAGGACTCCCCAGAACAGAAAGATGTAAGTATTCATTGTGACCCCCAAGTAACAAGTGTCCCTATCTCATGTGCCCCTTTACCTTTTACCTTTACTTTTTTCGAGATTCTGGAAGAATGCTGTGTTCTCAGCAGTCGGGCTTCCAGTTCAATTTCATTTTCTTCCTTCTCGTAGTTGGGTGTATTCATCTTGGTAAGTTTGTCTGGCTCAGTTCTGTGTCAGGTATTCTACTCATATGGGGAGCAGAAACGCTTGTCTGTCCATACTTGATCCAGTCTGGCTTTACAGGCATTCACTGTGGTAGCAGTGACTACCTCTTCAGTAAGTGTGTTCCAGTCATAGATGACTCGTTGGCTGTATGCATCTAGCCTAATCTTCATTGAGCATCTTTGCTCTAAGATCTTTAGACTGTGGCCTCTTGTGTTGCTAGTCGAGTGTTCAAAGAAGATATCAACTGGGATGCGTTCAAGTCTGAAAACCTGAATCATGTCGCCTCGCCATTTGCGATATTCGACGGAGGGAAGGTTGAGCACCCAAAGTCTCTCTTTGTAAGGACAGTTGTGGATGTCATAAATCATTTTGTTAGCTCTCTTCTGCACCCTCTCTAATGTTTTGGAGTCTGTCTTGAAGCAAGAGTACCATATGGAATCTCTGTAATCTATGAGAGGTCTGAGAAGGCCTTTGTACAGCTTTGGAATTGTGGACCTGTCTCTGCACTCAAAGCTGCAACGGATGCAGGAGAGTACTCCTTTGGCTTTCTTAATAGCATGATATGCCACATGGTTATGGAACTTTAGCTCGTCATCAATGAGGATGCCAAGATCTTTCTCCTCTAATGTAGCTTCAAGGACATCATCTCCAAGGGCATAGGTGTGTTTGACGTTTCCTGGGCCTATGTGTAGTACTTTGCACTTTTGTGTGCATTGAAATACATGAGATGCCTGTACAACCTAGGGACACTTCTGTGTCATTTGCCTAGATCATTGTGTGTGCAATTGCTAATTAGGTTTTTTACGGATGTGTATCAAACTATCAATCAGAAATGGATCTACATCTGAGACCAACTCTTTACATCACCATCCAAAATATATATGACTTTTTTTTTTATCAAACTAGGGTACATCAGAGTTGGTTTGTAGGCAAAGACAGAGAGCTGGGCCCCATTTCACAAAACTTGTCATCAGTGACAAATGACAGTTTATGTTATAAGCTATTGAAATCCTTGCTTCTGATTGGTTATCAGCAGATTTGTCAATGATTTTTGTCATTTGTCCCTGTTCACATTGCTAGACCAATTCACATCTCCCTAGGTGACAACGTTATGCTTTATATCTTTCCTGACTGCTTTGGGCCTTGTTCTGGATCTTGATTTCTTCACTTTTTCTTTCTTCTTTTTTTTTTATTAGGAAAGGGGTGCGAATTATGGTTACATTAAAGACCCATTCACATCTCCCTAGGTGACAACGTTATGCTTTATATCTTTTCCTGACTGCTTTGGGCCTTGTTCTGGATCTTGATTTCTTCACTTTTTCTTTCTTCTTTTTTTTTTATTAGGAAAGGGGTGTGGATTATGGTTACATTAAAGTGTATTGGGTAAAGAAAAAATCACACACAACACATCACAACTCTGCATTAGTATAGGGAGAATTTAAAAGATTAATATGAGGGAGAGTGTGGATTGTGGAGGGAACTTTTGGATGGTTTAGAGGTTTGAATTACAAGCTAATGAAATAAATGTACTATACATGTCTGAAATGCCTTTTATTTTGTTTGTATTTCAGGCCCATGCTGCAACGCTAGTCATGAAGTTACAGCTTTTCATTCAGGTAAGAAGACAATGTGCCATAAGCCATTAATTTATTCAAGGGGGAACAAGAACACCACCACCATCATCATCATCAATAGTGATCCGTTCCAGGACAGCTTTAGTGAACTTATCAACTTCTGAGACAACTTTCTCTTAAACTGTTTCACTTTAGCACATCAACTCAAATACTGAACAAGTTAGCAGGCATAATCTTGAAACCATAAGCTGCTAGGTATAGGTTAGAGAGAAATAAGGGCTTTACATCATTATTTATATTAAAATATTCTACCATGAAGCAGGTAAATAGTTTGGGCTTGGGTAGGAGCTACAATGACTCAGTTGATAGAGCTGTGGTCTCGTAACTGTAAGGTTGCTGGTTCAAAACCAACTTAATATTCACAATTATACATGTATGGTCCACCTGATGCTCCCTGAATGCAACTTGAAATACTCTCTCCTTCCCCCTCTCTCTCTTTCTCTCTCTCTCTCTCTCTCTCTCTCTCTCTCTCTCCCTCTCTTCCTCCCTCTCTTTCTCCCTCCCTCCCTCCCTTCCTCTCTCCCTCCCCTTCCCTCCCTCTCTCTCTCTCTAAGCGTTATGATCTTCGCTTACACACACCCATCAGTTATACCAGGAGGAGAGAACTTAGATTGCACTCGCATTCCTTCCTAGGCACAGGCCAAACCAAATGAAAATTGATAATGATAATAACTGCATTTCTTCCATGTCTCACCCTTAGGAAGTGAATAACTCTTTGGAGGAGACGAGTCAGCAAGCATTACAGAACTTACCTCGTGTTCTCAGAGATGTGGAGGCTGTAAGACAAGAAGCAGGATTCCTCAAAGATCAGATGCAACTTGTCAAGGAGGACATAAAAAAGGCAAGGCATTATACAGGCCATCATACACATTGTGACCTAACTGAAATTACATGTAGGGAGAAAGATGTGAAAAGAAGTTTTAAAAATTTGTAGATCTCCTGTGTACCAAAAACAGAGGTCTTGAATGGTCTTTTGTTGAGTAATTGCATGCAAGCAAGTTTCAAGATGTATCAGACTGTATGCTATACGGATTGAATTGTGATTTTAATGATCTTGTTTGATATCGAAGACACAACATATATTTCTAAATGTGAAGATGTGAATCTATCAATCAATGTTTTATCACTCATGAGTAGTTTAGATGACTCATGGGGGAAACTTGTTTTCATTCTTAAAATCTTGAACTCAATGTTTTCATAGAAATTATGTTTATCAACCTTCATTTCCCCCTCTCCATGTCCTTACTATCTATCACATTCTACAAGTTTCCCTATCTTTCTCCCTCCACACCAACTCTTCTCTTCATTCCTATCTTTCTATTTCCACCCTCTGTTTTATTCTTCATCTCATTTCTCTGTTTACCTTCCCAATCTTTTTTATCTCACATTATGTCATTCCCTCCTATTCTGGTTCCATCTGTCTGTCTGTCTCCTTCTACTTCTACTTCTCATACCATCATCTTTGTCTGCCTGTGCTATAGGTAGAGGAGGACACATCAGAGTCAATGAAGATGCTGTTGGAGATTGATACCATCAAGTCAAGAATGAAGGCCGCATCAGATGCACTCCAGGCAAGTATCCCGACCATTTCAATATGGGAAACATTTGTGGGTGGATGCGATTGTATTCAATTCTGATGAGTTAGATATCATCTTTAAGTTTAAGCTAGGAATCTCCTGTTTTAGAATCAGACATAAACTAAACTATCACATCTACCATAGTTAGCTTGTTTGTGGTGTTTGTCACATGTTCATATTTCTAGCTGTTCATATAAATGAAGTGAACAAATACATTGAAGAAGAGAGCTATTTTTCTTTAGAAATTCCCAGAAAAGGAGTTCTTTTACACACAAAAAACAACAACAACATAAAAGTGTTAGTGTAATACCTAATCTGAAAATAGCTCCTGTGAACAAAATATGATTTTTGACACTGCTATATTGATCAAGCTTTCTTGAAAAAGTTGTTGTTAATGAGACTATGTTTAAAATAGGCACAGGTGTCTGTGGACAAGTGATTGTTAGCTCAAGCATGTATGCATTCTGTAAACAGTAATCAGTTTTCAGCTTTAAGATGCCACTGTGTGAGCAGATGTGATAGATTGATTGTATGATTTGTTGTACAGGAAGCAGATAACTGGACCACCTTGATGGCTGATGTGGATGAAGTCTTTGCTAGTAAGGATGTTCAGTTGGTAAGTCATTCTCTTCTTTTTCTCATCTCTCTTTCACTTTTATTATTTGTATAGTTGTATATTCCCCCTTACTTGCCTCCCGCTTCTTCTCTTCGCATTTATGTTTGTCATCTTTTCTCTTTGTTCATCCTTTTCTCTGAACATACACAACTACCCTCTTGAGCTGTACCCCCAAACTATCCCATATAGATTACTTCCATGGTCAGAAACCCTTTTCCATTTTTTTCCTACCAGTTCTTATTCTTCACTTTTTCTTTTTTTAGTTGTCAATCTTTTGTCTTTCACATATTGTGCATGTTTATATGTCATCACAATTTTTGTTTGGTGCCTGTTAGGATGTTGGTTCATAGCATAAATGTTTTTCATGTATTCATTGTAGGTTGCCTATGACTTTTCTAACATTTCAAACATTTTCTAACATAAGACAATTACTCCTGATGACGGATAGTCAACCTGTTCGAAACGTCAAGCCACTCATCCTCTCCAAGCGCTATAGTTCTCCTTAGAACTATATGCTAAGAAAGATAACAATAGTCCTTTTCAGGACTACACACCCCCAAGAAAGATTACTGAGTCAGAGTCCTTTTCAGGACTCCTCACCTTTTCTCTCTCTCTCTCTCTCTCTCTCTCTCTCTCTCTCACATGGTGCACCCGCAAACCTACTGTATAAGACAATTACATACTGTACAAGTGAAATTCTCATTCTTCGTGTATGTGTGTTGCCAAAATAGATATTTTATTCATACTTTATTGAAATTACATTTATCTTGTCTCAAGCTGCACTTTTCTATAATGTAGACTGGTTTTCTTTCTGCATTAGATTCTTATTTTTTAGTTACTGATTACATTATTACTTAGTTACACTGTAGTTTACTTAATTTACCTTACCATTATGCTTTTTGTCTTATCTACAGATTGCAGACAAACTACTGGCAATGCAACACAGTCTGGTAAGGAAACTAGATTCACAATGTACCTTTTAATGCTTTTATGGATTTTTCAAAATTATTATTATTATATGATTATTTTCTTTTTAAATGGAATCTTTCAATGCAATTTCTCTTTGCCTTTACAATTTCTCTCTTTTTTTTAAGAATTCTGTTTATATTTTGTTTGAGTTTTTAATTTAATTTATACGTTTTGAGATTTTGTATTTATTAAAATTTATTTCCTTCCCAACAGTACAATATGAAACACAATGTATTCAAAAATTATATATATATAACAATGATTTCAACTTAGATTACACAGTAAATAATTCAGATACCAGAAGGAGGCGAAAAGCATAGCTTGAGCTGGGAATGCCGAAAATGAGTTAACATAATACCTATTTGAAGACATTTTCCAGGCAATTTTGTCATCAATACATTTCTCATTGTGTGAAAGGGTTCTATGTCTAATGTTGAGTTTGTCTTGATCTTGTTTGTTTAGAGTATGTTAGCTCACTGTGGAGATTATGATGAGAGATGTCAGAGTCTGGAGGTTTTGAAGAATCGTCTAGAAGCTCTTCTGAGTCCTCAGCTTGTTAGTGCATTCAACTCACATTCACTGGGTGAGTTAGCTTGTTAGTGCATTCAACTCACATTCACTGGGTGAGTTAGCTTGTGAGTGCATTCAACTCGCATTCACTGGGTGAGTTAGCTTGTTAGTGCATTCAACTCACATTCACTGGGTGAGTTAGCTTGTTAGTGCATTCAACTCACATTCACTGGGTGAGTTATGATCTAGATCCTACAGTGTATCTCAGCCAGGAAATTCAATTGAGTTACTAGAATAGATGCTGTATTTCTAATGAACAAACTTATCTTTTATCACTCCAAATTTAAGTTTGTAATTTGAAATATAATCTTTTGCAATTTCTCGCCTTGTCTTTAGATGTTTACATGGTTTTGAATAATCCCTGAACTCCTGATGCAATTTGAACAACACAATTTTTCTGAACTCACACTTGAACTCTTTGGTTCACTGTTTAAATATTTTATATTTTATTGTTAATTTATGCCAAACTATGTTCAATGTAATTGATATGTTTATTTTGTAATTTTGCATGTTTTTATCTGTGAACTACCGTTATATCGCAATTCAGCCAACAACGGCTGCAAAGATATATTTGATAAACCTTGAATTGAATTGAATTTAATAGAAATCAAGATAAAATGTTACTCTTTTGTTTACCACAAACCTCAGCTATAATTGACTCTATACATGGTGTACCTTTCTGTGGTATACGGAGGCATACACGTGTGTACAAGCTTTAGCTCTTGTTCACAATATCTTAAGATAAAAATGACTGCAGTATACATTGCTTCCAGGGCCCATCCTTTTAGAACATTCCTGGTTGAGGTTTTTGGTGTGCTTTTCTGAGATACACACATGTAGAGATAGGCAATTCACAGTGTAAGTAAAGTCACTATGACAAACATCATAAATCCCAAGCAAAGAAATATACCATCTATTGTGTTAGGGAGATTATGTATTCATTTATCATTTTCATTCAACAACAAAATAAAACATTGTCATTGTTAATTTTGTTTGTATGCGTTTATCGCGTTTGGCCAATATTCTTTTTTTCCCCCTTTTTTTTTGTCAGAGGCTGCCCAGAGATATGTGAAAATATTCAAAGATATGGACAGATTGTCACAGCTTAGGAATTACTACTACAAATGTCACAAGGTAAGTCTAAATACCTTCATGCAATGATGGAGTTATCTGTAGATGTTATACTGAATGTATGTAATTGTGTTATATAGTGGTGGTTGTTTTACCTGACAGCTAAGAAAGCAATAAATGCTTGTTAGTAAGCAACCAGAAGACTTAAGGCTTAAGGTCCTCTCCGAGGGTCCTGGTAATGAGGATTAATGCCTTACCAAAGGGCACTAGCGCATCGACTTGGTTTCGAACCCGGGTCACCGGATAACGAGACCACTGCTCTACCAACTGTGCCATTGCGCCTCCTCTGGTTCGTGGGTATGGGGACAATTTACTGATTACTTTCCATTCTAGCAATGGCAGAACTTAATTCAGACGCAAAAATACTGATCTTACATGAAAAATTTAGAGAGTATTAATATTTTATATCGTATTTCTCTATTTCTCCCCCTCTCTTTCTCATTCTACATGAATCTTTTCAACAGAGTTCCTTATTACTTCAGTGGCAGCAACTACAGGAAACTAACAGAGAAAAGGTCCTAGCAGAGTGGTTACCATCATTCTATGAAACATTGCTTACAACATGGCACAGAGAGGTAAGATAGTATACTACCACCAAACCATATTCATGTCAAGCATGAGGCCTACTGATAATATCTTCTTGTCGATTATAAAAGCTACATTGTAAACATGACATGAGGGGATAATTCCATAAAGAATAAGAACCCTAACTTAATAATATTCCTCTTTTATAAGCGCTTAATACAATGTCTCTATAAAAGCGCTTTACAGTTAAACTATTACCCAGGTCATTGGACTCAGTGCTTGCCCTTACACACTGTATGCACAATCTCCACTCCCCGGGGAGCATTCCAGCCAGGCATTACTTGACGCTCAAAAACTGTTTGACCAACAATGACTGTTGCATCCTACTGGGTACCCATTTAACACCTGGGTGGAGAGTAGCAAGAGCAGGTTATTATCTTGCCATAGGATATTAGTGCTGTGTCGGGATTAGAACCCTCGACCTTCGCATCTTCAGTTAAGTGCCCTAAACCACTTGGCCACAACAATCCCACTTATGTTTGCAAAGACTACTGGAGGCAAAAACTTGTCAAAATATTGTATGTTTTCATGATCATGTAATGAATTATCCGTAGTGTTGATATTAAATGTGAAGTCTTGACACATTGTAGATTATAGGTTCCTTCAGTATGCACTTGGAGGTACACTCCTACTTCACATCCCTGCTAGAATATGCATGAGGACCTCCAATTTTATGCCATTTGACCGGTTTGCTCCAATCCTGGGTTTTGTACCAAACATGTACATGTACAGAGTATGTAGTAATTGATGCATTTCCCCATGGTATGTGAATACATGTAAGCATGTCTGGCCCAGACCCTCTTTAGTCTCAAGCTTTTATTGTTACATGTCAATTTGTACACTTTGTCATGCGACCTTTGACCCAATTATGACCTTTGAATCATGAAGTCCCCCATGGTAGATGAGCCTGTAGCTTAGAACCTGTCAGTATCCAGCCATCATTACCACTTGCCTATTATTTTCACTTTGTCACATGACGTTTGACCTCATCTTGACCTCATCTTGACCTATGTACCTGTAGGTTCAGTGGTGTGATCAGGTCTTCCCTGATGCTGTTCCTATGGTATGTGAGCTCCTAGCTCAGACACTTTCGTGTCTGCAGCCATCGCTACCAGCCTGTATGGACTCTGCCCTGCAAGACAATGCCCTTCTCAACCTCATTGACCTCCGGCAGGTAACTATTATTGCTTACAGACTCTGCTTCATTAAACTTGTTATAACACTGTAGTATAACAAGTTACAATATTGCATTTGATTTGCTGTGAGCAAATTTGTCTTTGAATTTCGACACTGGACTCTAAAGACAAACTTTATGAAACAGGATTCTGGTCTATTTCATGTACATGCATATGTACAATTTAAGAAATATATGAAACTATTTGTGTTGCATCGCTGCTATATTGTTTGGATGTAAAAACATGTAGAGGTCATGATAGTTGCATGATTTATTCTCAATTCAACTGAAATTTAAATAAATAAAAAAAATATTTATTCAATTCTGGCAAGACTTGGAATATCAGAGGTCTTTATAGAGACAGTGAGTAGGCATTGTAAAATAATATGTCAGGGCAAGACGTTGTTTCCACGGAAACAGTGCCTATTCCCTCCAATTTATCTTCATGTACATTGTAAAAGTATTTTCATTAAGTTATTTGAGAAAAGTTTGTAAGCAATCATAATAATATAATAATAAAAACGGTGCTTATAAAACGCTTACCACCAAAGTCTCTAAGCGCTATAACAAACAAAATACAATGATAAATAAGTACATAATAATCAAATAATCTGATAATTTGTGCATTTTTGCAAAAGATGTAGGCTACATGTACAATTACTTCACAGAGACTGTCATTGGTGAAAGCATTTTATTACCGTATATCATACATGTATCTAGTACCTACATGTATACTATGTGCACTATATCTGCTGCACTGTGTAAACATGATGCTATCTGTACGTTTTCATTGATCTACAGATCACATTGAGATTCATCAAAAGCTTAGAAGGTGCTATACAATCAGTGACAGGTAAGTCTTGAGGGTTTTTGTGTGTGGGTTTTGGGGGTGTGCTTGTGATATACTGTCGGTTGTGGAGATCTGATGTTGATTTTAAAAAACAAATGCACATAGGTAATAATCCTCATTTCCAAGTCTGTGAGACAGAAGCCAGAGGTTTTGTTGCTTACTTGCCTACTAACTTACATGTTTTCTTATTTATGGTGCATGTCTATTATATCCACAAATTAAATACATTTTCAGGATGTTGGCTGTGCAAAAGTTTCTATTATTTTATGTATTTATCACAGTTTCTTTCTCCATTTTTCTTTCTGCAGACACACTAGTGGGCAGCCATTTTGAAGACCTTGTTCATGCTATCCATGCCCCTTACATCCCTTATTTGATAAGGTACGGCTTCTACGAAGAAGAACACTTGGTACAAGAACTCTCAACTATTAACATGGCAAGTAGTTCTTCTCTCAAATTTGACAAAGGAAACTTTTAGAGTTGGCCTCCTGACGTTGGAAAGATTGTATTGTTGAAAACACTTTAAGAGTGTTCTTATTTTTGAGAGAATATCATATTTGAATCTCTCTTTTAGAAGAACTCTTCCAAGGGAAACCGTCATTACTTGTCTCAACTACACAATATCAACCCTATAACTTGCATGTACTTTATAAAGTTGTCAAATCTTGATCACTCCCTTTTTCAATTCTGATTTCCATTTCGACTCATTTTAACATTACATGTATATACACCTAAAATGAAAAGATCAAAAGTCTTATGTCATTTAATTTAATGTTGTCATCACCTCAGTCATTGTTTTTTCTTCCTTTCGTTTAGGCATCCATTAAAGTAATTATGAAATGTACAAAATTGGATAATTATGTCAAAATTATGGCACTTTTTAAACAAATGTTACAAAAAGTGTGGATTGTGAGGAGAGAAAGAATGTTTTGGCAAGAGTATTCAAATCAAAGGAAAGAAAAAAAATAGTGAGAACAGATGAAAACAAAGTAATTTTAAAGATAGAGCTGTTCTCATAAAAATGAAGAAAAATTTAATTGCTGAAATACAAGGTGATTTGAAGTATTGTATCTGATATTCCTTTACAACAGGAAAGACAGGACTTGATAGACTGTGCACAGCTGCTATCAGATTCACTCAACAAGATATTCAAACTGACAAATGAGGTAATTATCATGTTAAATTTAGACTCACTAATGATTGTAGTTTATGGCTTTTGTGTGTGCTAGAAGTGAATGTCATGGGGTGGGGTGGTAGGGAGAGGGAGAAGACAGGGATGGAGTGACATGTGATGAATTTGGAGATCTGGGTTGGTATTCACTTCACTACTTAGGTAAGAAATATGAATATTTTACTCAGTTTTCGGCTTTATTGCCAACTTTGATGTTCAGTTGAGGCTTTTGGCTAAATACAGGTATTTTACCCTAAATTGAAGTAGCTTCCTAGCAGACTTAAGCCAATTTTTTTGAAGGCATATGGTTTTCATATGTAATCATCACAAGCTGCGCACAATTGTATCGGAGTGCGCATATAATACATTGCGTTAGCTGTGCAAATTTTTGATTGTCTATCGTGTCACAATGCTTATCTTTAAGTATTGAAGTCTGCTTGCTGAAGTCAAATGTTTCGATGAATACGAGTTAAGGCATTTTACTTGGCCAAGCCAAATGCTAAGTAAGATACTGGCTTAAGAAACATACTGAATTGAATACCGCCCCTGGCTCCTCTGTTATAGATGTTGAGTTTGATATCATTATCCATTTTGGTTTTGATATCACCATGTGAAATATGTAGTTCTTCACCTACATGTAACATGCTGTCTGTGGCCAAGGTCTGATTGATCAGAGGAGTTATAGTTTATACACTGTAATTACATGTAGGATCTGTTTAATACCTTTGTTTAAAGGGAGTGTAACTTGGCAAAAACTGGTTAAGGTCATCTAAGTCTTCTTTTTGGGCAACTGCGCGTAAACGAATGGTCAGCGTTCGTGAAACAAATGAAGTGAAATGACGTGATTGCTGCAGTCGCATCGCCCGTAGTCGTATTATACCCGATTGACCTCGAGTCAGGCCACAGGAAAGACACATAGTCTCGTCAGGCTACACTCCCTATAATAGACATGGCCATGCTACCTTAACTTCTACCTTAGTCAATGAAAATTAATACAAAGTGAGGAGTGATCCAATTAGTCGTTAAATTGTAAAACTCTTCCTCTTACTACTTGTTTTTCCAGGCTTCAGACAGGTGTACAGCTTTTACAGGAGGCTTTGGCATGGCTGGCCTATTATCAGCTCTCAAAGTAAGTTAATATTTATTGTATTAAAAAAAATGTAATTCTTTAATTACTGCTCTTTGAAACCTACATGTATACTACCACAATGTCTGGGGTATAAATATGTTCTAAATAAGTTGTATGATTGTGTGACTGAGGTAGTCCAATGCTTGTTCCATTTAATCAACTAAAGACGACTAATAGTTTAATAGGATAGTATTGCCACTTACCCATCGTCTTTCCATGGATGCTATCTTAAATATTTTACATATGGTGATACACTTTAGTTAAGAATATGTCTGACATCCATGAAAATATTGGCTTTTACAGTGTAACGCTGTATTTGATTTGATGCATTATCCAATATGTAGAGTAGACCTTTGAGCTAGATGTGGATAAGAAGGGGAGTGGAAAAAGAAAATGAGCAGGATTTCTTTGTTTCTGTGACAGGCCACATTCAGCTCGTACTGTCAGAAGTTTGACCGGAGCCTAGAGACTTTGAGGTCAGCCTGCGGCCTTGACCCAGTAAGTACTAATGCCATGGTGATGACCTCTGCGGGGGCGGAGCTAGGGGAGGATTGGAGCAAGTTCCAGAATGCTCTCAAGATTGTTCAGACATGTGGTAAGATTTATCAGTACTAGGGTCAGTGGGTGAAAGGTCATAGGTCAAAGAGGCCAATGGACATGGAAAGTCATGATCTATGGTCCATCCATAATTACAGCATGCTCATCTGCAGTACCATTTGTAGAATGGATAAGAAAATATTGAATGAAGGAGTATTTTACACAAAGTTCCTGCTGCTAGTTGCTTAAATGTTTACCAATTTTGAGTCCCATATATGTATTTTTGTAAATCGCATGAATCTTCAATACACCCTATAACCTGATTGTGCATCGGGCTAAGGCGAGACAACGCAAGGCATTTGACATGTTTCCACATATGGTATAGGAAACAAAGAAAAGGGAAAGGAAGCAGATGTATCTTATATTCAATCTTGATGATAATCCTTCCATTTGCAACTGCCCAACATGTATTTCAATTATTTAGATTATTTACTTTATTCAATAATTTTCTGTTGAAAATGTTCAATTGTAGATCTAACAAGGTATCTCCAAACTTTGATCAGTCACCATTTTATTGAGGCAAATAAATGTGTGTTTCAAGAATTGTTAGTTCAGCCTCTAGGTGATGTGTGCATGCCTCTATCAGTTGTGTCACCATACAAAAATCATAATCATTGATAATCTTGTATTTTTGTAGGTGAGTTATTATTACAGAGTGAGGAGTTTGAGCTTCAGCTGAGTAGCAGTCTCCTTCATACATGTAGTAGCTATGACATCCAAGTCTTCTCACCTACATCACCAACTAAACCAAGGTACAGATATACATGTATTTAATGTGAAGTATAGGAATGTCCTTCTGGGCTGCGCAATAAACGCCCCACCCTTAAAGCCCCACTGTACTTCTTATAGCTACTTGTGCCTTCTATATAGCAAACAATGCCTAATCAGTGACAATTGGTCCCCCATGGTCCCCTTTTTCTTATGTTAATTGAGAGCTTATTTGATGAGATAACCACCTGTCAGTGACCGAGCAGGGAGGTCTAATCCCTCCTGACCAAACTAGTGCAGATAGGCTTTAACATCCGAGGCTCGACTGACATGGCCTAGTAGCTGGGTCGGTGACTGCGTATTCCTCGGGTCGTAGGCTTTCTTTTTAATCACAATGACCTTTTTCTACATTCAGATAGTTTGGATAGCCTTGGCTACCAAGAGCCAGGCACCCAATCATGGCTACACCACAGATAAGCAGCCTAAGATACACTCCTGCTGCTCTGTTCACCAGCAATATAAGGGTGATGGAACCCCTGCCAGACCATTATCCAAAACCACTCTTAACATGTGTGCATTCCAAGATTACCCATAGTCTCCTATTTGCATTTATGGGTGTAGAACGGGTAATGCACTGGATGACATCCCAGTATTCAAGAAACAAAGATTCTTGCCCGTTGCCTGATATAAACACATGTACATAATATAGAAATGATACTGTTTCACTAAAAATGCTTGATACATTTTGTTTTGTGTTTGGATTACACATACATACCATGGTCTAGGTTTTCCAGAAGTGACAAATCTGTCAAGAATTAAAAAGTATGTCTGGAAGGAACGTCATAAAACATACCCCTCAAAAAATTAGTTAAGTGTGTGCCTCAATCAGCTGTGTCACCATAAAAATATAATAATCATTATAATCTACTAACTTGGGGGGTGCTGGGTTTTTTTGTTTTTTTAAATTTAATCAAAAGTGTGAAACATTGTCAAACACATAGCACGGGATGTGGCTATAATCATATGAACAAGAGAAAGTATTGCCTTCTTCTCTTGGGCTCATGCATACATGTACCTCACATCTTACTGATTTTTTTATTTTCACAGCTTATAAGTTGAAATTGTGATGGCCTAAGCAATTGTACATTATGGTGTTTGTAATTATTGTGTAAATAGAACCAGTTAAAGCAAACAAACTTTCTGACTGGACTTATGCAAATAATATTATTTTTTCTTCCTGGCAGTGCGTCACACAGCAGCTCTTTCAAGGAATATAATTACTTAGCCAGAGAAGATCCAGCGCAACATGCTGCCTTTCAGGAACTTATCCTCAAACTCAGAGAAGGTCAGTCCCATGTGTTGAATTTAGTGCTGTGTTTTAGTGGTTCACAATCAAACTTCAAATGCATAGATCTGAAGAGATCTCAAGTATTTCTAGCAGCAGACATGTGCTAGAAAACCTCAATCAGGTTGACTTCAAAATGCTTTTCTACCACTAGTATCCAAAACAACCTCTCAGAAACAAGACATTAAAAACTGTATTTTTAAGACATGGAATGAAAGGTTAATAATAGCTGATTTTGGTCTGTATTTAATATACTCCTCTATGTGTTTAGAATTTGTTTTTATTGCAAAGATCTATATTAACCTATTACATAATAATTCCAAAATAATATAGGCTGTTGTTGATGACTAATCTCTGTTGTACTATTAATAATCAAGAGAGTTCATCGCGTACATGTATGTTGAAATTTGGAGAAGAAAAAAAATAATGATTTTGTGCAGTTCTCCAGCTCTTGCTTCCCTGAAGGCTTCATGTTTTGCCAGGGGGTGTTTTTTATGTTTAAGGTAATGGGATTTCCTCCAAAACAATCTTTTTTGCTCTTAATTGTTGATATTCCGTTTCCTTTAGATGATGGTTCATCTTTACTTCAAGAGCCGTTGGAAGCCATGTCAAAGATCACTGAGCATGCTCACAAGCTTGCGTTTGGGATCGTCTTCTTCCAGCTTCAACTTCAACTCTCGCAAGTTTCACAAATGGAGGTAAGAAAGCAGGGCTGTAAATAAGTCCTAGTATAGAGGAACATTAGATTCTTCTCTTTTTCAGAATTGTTTCCTTGTAGTAAAATAATAATAATAATAGTTGTTCTTTATATAGCCCATTTCAGGACTGCAGGCCCTCTCAAAGCGCTTTACAGATATATTATTACCCCGGTCATCGGATTCAGGGTTAACCCGCACACAATGTATGCACATTTTTCACTCCCAGCCAGGCGTCTTTTTTACAAGCGCACACTTGCTCATCTAACCACATTAACTTTCGCATCCTACCGGGTACCCATTTAACACCTGGGTGGAGAGTGGCTAATGTAGATCAATTTCTTGCCAAAAGGACATTAATGTTGGGGTGGGACTTGAACCGCGGACCTTGTGATCCACAGTCCGGTGACATATCCACTCGACCACGACACCTCTACGACACACGACATGTCTAATTTCTGTTTTGAGAGAGTCCTATCAATGTTTTGGTTGGAGATTGGAAGGTATGGACAAGGAAGTGAGGGAAGGTTGAGGGGTAGCCTTCAAACCAGTTCCTTCTGGTTTATTAAAGAGCTGGACAGTCGAAAGATAAAAACAGTCAACTGTTAGGAAAACCTAGGGTAGTTTCAAGCTGAATACTAAATTTGTATAATATGTGACAAGCGTACTGAAATGAACAACATTGACATTAACATTATCATTGACACCTTTTGTTTGTTTAAAGCCATCTGCACTAGTTTGGCATGGAGGGATTAGACCTCCCTGCCTGGTCACTGGCAGGTGGTTATCTCATCAAATTAGCTCTCAATTAACATAAGAAAAAGGGGACCAATGTGATCAACGGGTACCGCTTAGGCATTGTTGACTCCATAGAGGGTGTAAGTAGCTACAGGTAGTACAGTCCCACTTTAATTGCCAGCTAAATTTTGATTTTGATAAAATTGAATTATTTAAGTTCTTAAAAACTTTGAACAAGTAGATGCAATAATTATGAATATAGGAACACTGCTGCATAAATGTCTACCCAGTATGTACATCTTCCATTACCACTCCTATTTGCATATTTTGTACTTTACATTCAGGTTTGGACTGATGAAGGAGGCATGCTATCAGCTGATTTACCAACATTCAGTTTATCTCCTCAAGAATATATCACCAAGGTAATCTCAATCGAGGTTGGATTTGCCCATGATTAAAAAAAATACAAGTGAAATATAAAATGTTCAAAGTGAACTTTGACGGATCCTGTCAAAACGGAATGTGTTATTTTGCATATGTTATTTTGGTATGAATTCAGTTACCAATTTATTAGAAGGAAGGCTCATTGTATTAAAAGCACACACAATTAGTTAACATGTTTTAGGTTTTAAGTATCTATTTATTTGTCTTATAGTTATTATTTTTCCTGTCTCAGGCAAGTTTACAATGTTGATTTCCAGCTCTTGATCTAGAGCAGTGAGCGATAGTACTGACATAGGAACAGAGCTTTTTATAGTAAGGTAGTTTGAAATGGAAATATTTCAAAGTGCTTTTTGTAATATCAAATGGGTACTGCAAACATGTGCAAGTATTTTGGAAGCTCAGTGCTACAAATCATGCTTACACAGAATATGAGATAGTAAGGCAAGTCCATGGTCAGCTGATATGTTTTTTTTATTATTGTGTAGTTCGTAAAGAAAAGGTTGAGTTCTGGGAAGAGGTAAAAATAATTTGTGAGCGTTATCATGGTATAATGCAAGTGTGGAAGAACATCATATAAAAAAAAATTCCCTGAAAAGCATGGCTCTTCCAATACCGGTACATGTTTGTCTACACACATATACATGCATCTACACCCATATAAACCCATATACATGCATCTTTCTGTGTACAGTGCTTGTAACTTTACCAAGACTGGGCCAAATTTCTTATTATTTTGATGATTCCAGAACATTGCAGTACTGTATATGCTAAATAATCAACCTTTTCTGATCGATTCCACAATGTTTCTTTCACAATACAATCACATGACCAGAACTCAACTTCATCTTTAAAATGAATTGACATCAAATGTGTCATTTCACTTCATATTTGGTAAGATCTGAGCTCTTATAAGTGCAGTTATCTTAATAAAAATATTGATATATACTTAAATTATGCACATGGTTGCTAGGGTATTGGACAGTGTACAGTTGTAGCTTGTACTTGCATAATGATATGGAGAGATATATATGTACATGCACATGAGCAAAACAAATAGGTGGGGATGTTGATAATATTGTTTGGTGTGTATTTCCTCTGTAGATTGGTCAGTATTTGATGACCCTACCCCAGCAGCTTGAGACGTGTACAAGCCAGGATAACCCAGCCATGGAGAAGGCTTTAGAAGCTAGTCAACTACCATTCCCACCCTCACCTGGTAAGTCAATGGTTTGATGGGTGGATATGTTATTTGTATGTGACTGCTATTAAGACAGTAAAAGATAGGAGTTGTTGCTACCTTGTTTGGCGTTCAACAATAAGGGATAGAGCAACGTCGATCTGGCGCTGCTCAGTGGCTGCCGGGCTCACGATCAATTGGGCAAAAAGAATTTCCGTTTTGGTTTAATAAAATTTGTAGTGGACTATTAGACTATTATTATTATTATTATTATTACGCCTGGAGGTGAGCAACCAGGGGACCAACAGCTTTGAGTCCCCTGCAAGGGACTTGGTAATGAGGATTCATGCCTTATCAATCAAAGGCCATTAGATAGAATTCACTAGCTTTTGAACCCAGGTCCTCCAATTAAACGAGACCCCTGCTTTTTCACTGAGCCATCTCCCCTTCTTGAGTATCATCAATTTTATTTGTTTGTTTTGAAATATCTATAACATGTTTTTACGATAATAAATGTAATTATACAGTATACATTGTAGGTGTTTGGTAAAATCATAGTTGTTTCAGGAGTTTGGAACGTTTCAAAAGTGTAGACTATTGGATTGGATGGTTACTGGACTGTAGACCAAAAGGTGCAGGGTTCAAATGAAGTGAATCCCTACCACAGCACTAACATCCTTTGGCAAGACATTAATCTGTTTGCCTCACTCCATCCAAGTGAAGTGAATCCCTACCACAGCACTAACATCCTTTGGCAAGACATTAATCTGTTTGCCTCACTCCATCCGAGTGAAGTGAATCCCTACCACAGCACTAACATCCTATGGCAAGACATTAATCTGTTTGCCTCACTCCATCCGAGTGAAGTGAATCCCTACCACAGCACTAACATCCTTTGGCAAGACATTAATCTGTTTGCCTCACTCCATCCAAGTGAAGTGAATCCCTGCCACAGCACTAACGTCCTTTGGCAAGACATTAATCTATGTTTGCCTCACTCCACCAATGTGAAGTGAATTGGCGCCGGAAGATAATCATTCCTTGCATGCTTCAGTGCCTTCATCACGGCTAGAACCCCGTTTATAGTCCAAATCTCTTTGGAAGTACTGTACATAGGCTACAGACATTATTAAATATGTGATACGTGCTTTCCAATAACTGATTACTGTAATTATTATTATTATTATCATTATTACTGACAGGTTCTCCAGAAGTGGCGCATCTAGCTGATTACTGGATTGGGTCTGTTGCCAGGGCAACCATGCATATGTATGTTGAGGTGATATTAAGGATAAATGAACTGACCCAACAGGCAGCAAGGCAGCTATCAACAGATATAGGTAAGGGAAAGCTCACAAAATGTCTGTTAGCATGACTGCCGCCCAACCGCTGTAGATCACAGCTTGCCTTCTTGTGACTTTTCCTTCCCAGAGATGCCAGTTTTCAGGCAAAAGCCTGAATTCAGGCCCTGGCAAGTTATCTTCAGGCCATAGTTAAGGCTTTTTTGTGTACAAAATGACTAATTCTAGGTGATTTTCAGGCCCTCTGATCAATTCTAAGTGGCACCCCTGCCTTTTACATGTCTTGCAATTTTGAGACCCAAGTTTTGCATAAATTGGACCCTTGCGCTATCACGCCATGTTTTTCGTTATCTATTGTCGGGGCCAAAATTGAATGAAAATTGACATTTTGCATATATTTGTGTTGTGTACTAAATACTGCTTTTAAATTGCTCAATTAAATTGTGTCTTTCATGCATGCCTTTCTCCTGATCTTGAACGGTATGAAATTTAAAAAGATACATTCCTGAAACATAAAATACATCATACAAGCAAAGAAATACATGAATATGAATACAATAAGAAATGAATAAAGCGACGATAAATGCAAAAGGATTGATTTTAGATTTGACATTTTTTCAATACACTATTTTGGGCTTTGCTACTTTTTTGGTAGAGATTGATTAACCTTCATACCTCATCAGGCCGTGTCACACAGAGGCCAAAAATCCGGATTTTAGTTATCCTCTTGATTGCTGTTTGTCATCAATTATCCCATTAAAAATCCTCTAACTAAGCAAGAAAATTCTCCCTTGCAAGGATTTTTCAAGGGATTTTTTAAGGGATTTTTCTGTGTGACACCACCTATTTTGAGTGTCTTAGGTTTTAGTGAGTGTGTCTGATCTTCACCTTTCTTTTTGTGTTTGTATTTCTTTCAGATTATTTGTGCAATGTAGTTGATGCTCTTGGAATCCATCCATCTCCGAATCTGAAGCACATTGAGGAACTTCTCAAGATGCCTCTCTCACAGTAAGCTTATATTCAGATTTTTCCTATTGCTTCCTGCTGGGGAGTTGCAAAGAAAATGTAACTTGGGGAGGGATGATGAGAGAGGTGGGCTTCCCAAGTGAGTATGGAAGTGTCATGGTCTAGTCAGAGATGCCAACCAGTACGATTAAATTGTATTTAGTACGATAATTTTTTTTTTTTTTTTTTTTTAAACCCAGAAAAGCCCATAAAAACAGCGGAATCACATAGAAACATGTACAAACATTTGCTTTACAATTTTCTCATTAAATTTTAATAAAAGAGCAAACATTTTACTTGACCGTACTTACCAGTAAAACATTTTTTTTTAGTGTCCAGTTTTCGTCAAAATCTGATTTTTTTTAGGATACTCAGTCTGTTTTTTTTATGTCAAGAGGTTGGCATCTCTGTCTAGTGGATACATCACTGGATTGTGAATCACGATTGTTCCCCTGCAGCTCTGATGTCCTTTTGCAAGATATTGGTCTACATTTGCCACTCTCCTCCCAGGTGTATTTAAAGGGTACCGGAAGGAAGAAATTCCTTGAATGATTAAGGGCCTGATTATTGTAGCTCAATATGACTGCAGGGCCTCAATAAACAAGACCTATTGGTATAATATAGTATTAATGACTGCTTTGAGAGAAATACACTGTAGTTGTTTTTATAGCCCAATGGCCCAATTGTAACCTTCCCGAGAGCGTATAAAAAAAAACTATTTCTCGAATATTAAAGCAGTCATTAATACTTTTATATGCCAAAAAAAAATAGACTAAAAAATAAAAAATAAAAAATAAAACATTTTTTGTTGAAGATGGGATTCGATCTCTTGCGTACAAAAGGTGATGTAACTAAAATCAGCGCCTTAAACCGCTCGGCCAGCGCGCTCTGTCACCACATATAGCGTTTTTTTTCTAATATATACATTAAAATGAATTGAAAACGGCTTCGTGTGGTGGATGCTTCGCCGCTGCTCCATTAAACGGGCCCTTCTTTTACTTTTGCAATGCATATTGGCACGAACTTAGATCAAGATCTATCGGCAGATGTTGTTTTTTTGTTTTTGGAAGTTTATTTTCGTCTTCATGTCAACAATGCAAGATAAAATTGTTGGTAAGATCGATCGAGATTCAATTGTATTGAAATTACCGACCAATTCTTCGCACACGTACGGTATCCTCGATCGCTCAGACCATTTTTTAACATGTAAACCTATGGGGTAACCATGGAGACTGAACTATTTTCCCGGTAACCATGGTTATTGGGATTTTAGAACAGTTTTAACCATGGTTACTGGGAATTTTCGGGAACAGTTAAAGTTTATGAATGCAATTTCGACCAATCAGATTGCTGGATTACTTAAGTGAGGTATATGTTAATTATTATTACTAGCATTTGTACATGTATCACTAGTATTATTACTATTACTACTATTATTATTATTATTATTATAACAACAGCAGAACTGTTGAATGTAGTAACAAAGTTTCAGACTTTTCCATCTAGACCCCTTCTCCTTGTCTTTAGTTTCTGCTACAAAATATTGTGCCAGATCAGAAGGTGTATGTACACACTGTGTCATTCATTGACATGTAAATGAACCAACACTTCAAAAAGTAAACGAAGCAATATGATTTTGAAATTTCTCATGTTACTCTTTGGTTTTATCAAATTATAGAAGCATTTGTGATGTGTCTTTTGTCTTCTCTCATCTTCCAGGCATATCCTTGAGTGTTTCCTTTAATGCATGCTGTTGTATTTTATTTGTGACCTTACCTTGTGTTTTCTTGCATACCTGGGGGTGTTTCACAAAGATCCTAAGTTGAACTTATCTCTATTAAAGTTGGACTTACCAATTATGGAAAGCCGTTAGCGTCTAAAAAAATATTGTTTTTAAGTTATTTTAAATGGCATAAAATGTTGATTTAAATCAGTCATATTTTCTATTATCAAGGAGATTTTATGTTCTTGATGTGGAATTTATAAAAAATTTTAAATACTTGAATTTTCGCTTTTGAACAACATATTGTAGTTTAAGGCTACTAATGGCACTCCATAATGTTTAAGTCCAACTTAGAGTTAAGTTTGACTTAGGATCTTTGTGAAACACCCTCTTAGCCATGTGTTCTCTTTGATACATGTTCATAATCTTGTCTTTGCTGCAGGTATGGTGAAGTGAAAGGAGTCATCCCAGACAGATTGATGCATGCTGTAGCCAGTATGAGGAGTGGAGCAGAGTCCTAGATAAAGCCCAACACATCATAATCATAATAGCGAGTTTTCCCAACCGGCGATGTGGCCTTCTACAAGGCTAATCTTAGCGGGGGGTCGCACTCAGAGCACAAATTTCCGCGTAGCGTCCAAACCTACGACAGTTTTCAGCCATATTAGCATCGGGAGTTGAGCAAGTATGGGGTGGCGAGCTCATTTAAATACCCCAAAAGACAGCACTTGCGTCGCCGTGCAAAAACTCGCTGTTATATCTAGGAAGGTTACTTGTCTAAAAGCCTGGTATTCAGAAAATCTCTATCTTTAAAGTTTCTGTCAGGAATGTTAAGTCTTGAATCACAACTTTTGTTTTGCATCTTCAGAAGCTTTTAATCAGAGTCCTTCTGACAAATAAAATAAATCTGAGAACCTTTGTTTCTGAAGTGCTATGTGATGAAGAAGTCTTCTTTTATGTTAAAAATAGTTTGCACAGATTTCACATATATTTATTAAATGCTTTTTATAGAGACGAGTCAAATGCATAGTATGAACTAAATGCTCACTACTTTTGAGTGATTTAAACACGTACCAGTTGCTACAGTACACATCAAATGTGTGACTGCCATTATATGTACATGCATGTACAGGTATTAAACCCAGTTCATGTTTCCAGTATAAATAATTCTTTTACTTGGTTTGCTAATTAAACATTCCCGTATTGTATTATGTTGACACATGTTGTATTAAATGCAGGCACATTTCAACCCAATTCTTTTATGTATTTTCACTAACTGCTATTTTGCAAAAAACAGACTTCTATGAATGTCTTCCTATCATGGTAGAGTATTAAAAAAAATGTAAAAATAGGTACATTTTACACTGCACACACGTCCTGGAGGATGCTCAAGGCGCCTAAAAGCCCTAAGATTATCCATTCATGGAATCAATGCCTATCAGGGACTTATTTACTTCACCTGGGTGGAGAGTGGCAAATGTAGACTAATGTCCTGCCAAAGGACACCTCACTTTTAAAGTGAAATGGTTGCAATATCAGTCCAGACTAGCACATCTCTGAATAGTATGTAGTTGTTAATCATTAAAGTATCTTTTTTACAGCTCATGCATAAAGAACACCCACATGCATTATCATCACAAGTTAAATCTTAATTCATTAATTCCCAAAGTACATTGTAAAGACTGTTCTATTATGCAGTGCCCTAGCAATGTGTAGCAAGAGAGTTTGGGTTTTTACATGTACATACAGAAGCACAGTGTAGGCCCGTTTGTAAGCCCCTAAATACTATGCCAGAGATGGGTCAAGGCGGAGGCTATATGAAATTGGTTTCGAGCCACAGGTTATAACAAGAAAAGAGTGAAAATGTTGAGATTCAAACAAGTGTTGCGCTTGCAAATGCACGTATATGTATGTGTGTCCATTAATTTGCATTAATTACCTAAATTTCTCTGCGGCAGTGGGGGGGGGGGGGGGGTGTTGTAGATTTGTTTACCTTGTCCTATCTTGAACATTGGTTGACTTTGTATGTTATTATAATGTTTATAACAATGGAAAAATATTTATTTCTAGTACATGTACATGGTTGTATAATTTGTATCTTTCTTGTTTACATGCACATTAATAGAAATTATGTTGATGAAATTGGAATAAAACACTGACTGAAAAGATTATGTTAGCTCTGACAGTTTCAATCTCAAGTAAGCTTGTGATACGTCACCCCAAAATACTGACAAAGTTCAACCAATTCAATGTCCTTATCTTTTCACATTTCACACATTTTACTCTTTAGATTTTAATAGATCTACAGCATGTTAAGTTCATGACTTTTTTATTTGGATGTTTGTAAGATGGAATAAATGAGGCCACCGATTACCGACAAAACTAGCCACCAATCACAGACAAATATATTAATGCCAATGTGCCCGGGGGCTAAATTTCCTATGAACTATCTATATATCCATGCGCACATGACAATTTTTCCTCTACCTCATAAATAAATAAGACTAGTCAGCATCGGAGCTATATAAATGTGGAGCCCCACAGAATACCCCCCCCCCCTATTTTTTTGTATATCTTTGACTATGTATGTATGACACAAGTATATTTCTAGCCCCCATATAGTCCCTCCTCTTAGTTAATTAGGTACCCCCTCCTGCGAGAGTGGCCTCACCCACAACTAACCCAAACACACCAGCTGGGATACCAGGAGTGGCTTCTCACTTTGTTTTTGCCACGCATCTCAGTCAACACCTTTCTTATTTTGTCTTCCTTTCATAGGTAAGAAAGAATCTCTTATTATTCAATTGTGTTATATTCTTGTTCTTCATAATATGTGTATTTCTAAACTATTATAACTTCACTATTCATATATCTTGTATTACTGTATAAAAGGAGATATTAATGGTCTTTGGCTATGAGATGTTGGATTATATGACATGTGGACTATGGGTGGAAATATAAGAAATGCCATGTGGGAAGAGATGCCATGTGGGAAGAGATAATGTCATTGATGTACATAGTAATTACTTGTAGAAATGATAAGAAAGTATTATCGAGTGTGTGAGATTGATGATTATGTTGTTTGATTTAGACAACATTTAAGTAAGTTTTGAGAAGAGAATATTACTGTCAGTATATTTGTCTTTTGCTCGATATTCATGTGTACATATATATATTCTTAGCCAAGGACATGTGCCATTTACTATGCATTATGCCAAAGCACATTGTTATATATTCTAGTTTGGTTAGATACAGTTTTAATAGCGAAATGAGTGGTTCAAGTCCAGATTATCTTTAACTTTCAGTATTATGGTATGAGCGAGTGTGGACGCACCATGTGTACAATACTAGTGTGTTATTAGGATATGGCAGTGCGTTCAATGTGAACACAACTTCTTATCAGAGTTCTTAATCCCCTCTCCCCCCAAGCTTGACCATCCACTGCAATGCATTACACGCACACAGTGTAGATAGAGTATATGCTATACCCAAATGCTATGTTGAGAAGTGTTAGAGATAGAATGTGTTTGTTTTTGACCCATGCTGGAAAATGGTATCTTAGGCGGGAATGAAAGTTTGGTAGAGTCAGCAAAATGAGAAGACAAAGGATTTGAGTTGGGGAATACACTTGTTGAGAAGCACATGGTCAAATTGTCTAATAGTTAGCTAGTGATGGATGGGTTGATGAAATATTGTAGTTGAAGACTTGCATAATCACTGTCTGGAATTCATTGTATTATATTGTTAGGAATGATAATTCAGGTTAAATGTTATTGGGAATTACTCTCTCTCTCTCTCTCTCTCTCTCTCTCTATATATATATATATCCCTCTCTCTCTCTCCCCCTCTCTCTTTATATTCTCTCCCTCTCTTTCTCTCTCTCTCTCTCTCTCTCTCTCTGTATGATTCACCCCTTCTCTTTCACTCCCACATTACTTTGTATATAACCATGAAATGAATATACATGTATTCAGTAAACTATTGGTTGTTGTGTAGAATTAGAATATGAACTGTATGTGAAGATGAGATTATACAGTAAGAGGAATTCGTAATATTGGTTGTAAGTTTGTTAGAGCTATTAGTACAGACTGCAGACTAAGACTATTTGCCAGTGCTGTGAATATTGTAAGGAGTTTAGGATATAAGTTGTTGAAGATGTATCTTTTCAAGCTCAGTAGTCTCGCTGAAAAAGATAGTATTAGATCAAAGTGATGCAGATGACTATTGGAAAATACATGAGCTATAGTTAAGGAAGAGTTATAAGTTTATTCAGTATTAATGTGAAGTCCTGAGACAAGAAAGTAACTTGTGAATTTAGGGATTAGTGAAGGCTGAGAGTAGAATTGCATTCTAAGGGTCTATGTGTACAGTGGATCCTCAGTCTTGCATGGAGCGTAAAGAGTAGAAAGCTTATTAGGCAATAGTATAGGGATGATTATGCCAACATTCTTGTATTAGGTCTATATATGTGATTTCTTGAAAGAGACGCTAAGTGAAGAGTTATATGATTAGAAGCTAAAGTAGATTGACTGATACCGCAATGTTATAGACATTTGATAAGGGTTAAGTTATTTATTAGTAGCCAAGTTATAATTATGAGATCGATGAAGAGTTGCGCTTTTAAATGAAGCATGGAAGTAAGGATAGTTTTGTTTAGAGATAGTAAAGTAATGAAACTAACCAGATGATGTTCTTAGTGATATAGTAAGAGAACACTGAGAGCTAATGAATTCAATGTATGCGAACAGGTAGATTTATTTGTGTTTAATACTTGAAGAGTATTGTTATGCCATTTGATCGTATATATGTTATTGTAAGAAAAGACTGTTATTGTAGAAGATTAAGTAATAAAGACTTTGTTTTTGCCACGCATCTCAGTCAACACCTTTCTTATTTTGTCTTCCTTTCATAGGTATGCCCCCTCCCTCGGGGTGTGGGCGCTACAAATTTGGCGACCTTGCCAGGACGGCCATCAACGAAGAGACATGAGTGCGATGTGCTGTCCTATATAACCACGAACAGACTGGAAAGCTGAAAGCAGTGCAGTGATGAAAAGATAGAAGACATGAATCAAGAGTGCCAGTGAGATCCATCCCTAATTGACAATGGAGTTAGCCCAGGTTAGCGAGGAAGTTTTTGGGAGCCTCCCACACCTAGGGGAGAGCCAATTACGTAACCTAGTGACCCTGAGTGGAATTGACGAGAAGAAAGTGAAGAAGGCAGAGCAGAAAGGTGTTTGGGGTCTAAGATGCCTCCTAATGTCGTACCTGTCAGGAGATGAAGTCGAGGGATTGGAAGATGGTGGATTAGAACTGTTCAAGAAGGTGCAGGCTAGATTGGTTGTGGTTTCAGTTGAAAAAAGAGAGGCAGCTGCTGGAAAAGGTTCAGCAGAAACCAAAGAAGAATCAGCTACGGTCACGCCAGCCTGGACTGCCGACAAAGCAGGTCCAATCCCCACAGAGAAGGAAGCACCTCGGTTCGATTCCCTTCTTCGTAAGGAGTTCCGCATCAAAGGCCAGATTGGAGAGGTTGGGCAAAAGGACAAGCTGTCCTTTTCTAGCCTGGTCCACCAGATTGACAGGGGAGTGGCACGAGGGTACGCTGAGGAGGAGGTGGTAGACGCAATCATCAACGCCATGGTTCCGGGCCTCACCCTCAGAGCTTATCTAGAATGTAAGCCTGAACTGGACTTGCCGGTACTCCGCCGGTTACTCCGAAGTCACTATCAAGAGAAGGAAGCAACGGAGTTATACCATGATTTGACGGGGGCAGTCCAGAGTCCAAGAGAAAGCCCTCAGGAGTTCCTTCTACGAATGCTGGCCTTACGCCAGAAGATCTTGTTTGCGTCAAAAGAAGCCGATGCCACGTTCAGATATGACGCTACGTTGGTGCAAGGAATGTTTCTGCATTCCTTATTGACAGGTGTGACAAGTGAAAACATTAAGAGTGACCTCAAGCCCCTGCTTCAAAACGTTAATACCAGTGACGAGGTTCTACTTGAGCGTATAAACATTGCTGCAAATAACGAAAGTGAAAGGAACCTGAAGCAAGGGACAGCAAAGAGAACCAAGATAAACGAGGTCAGCACTACAAAGGTCAAAGAGAGTCACCCCAACAACCAAGCCTCAAATGCAAATTTGGACATGAAGATGATTCATGAAAGCATAAGGACGATTGTCAGATCAGAACTTGCAGCAGTTGCTCCAGCACCACAAGCTACCCTCACGCCACCAACAGTTGAGCAGAGGTATAGGAGGGCTCGTCGACCAGACTGGGGTTGTCGAGAATGCCGCCTCCAAGGAAATGGGGAAAGTTGCAACCACTGCTTCCGGTGTGGAAGTAGTGAACACTTCGCACGTGGGTGCAATAACCGACCAACTCAAGCGGGAAACGCCGGAGGGGCATCCGAGAGGGGCGAAGGTTTCCCCGGCAACACCCACAGTCCCGGACAACAGCAGCAAAGATAAGTTCCCTACAACTGAACAACCCAAGTACCAAAG